AAGTTTGCACATGCAAACAGATAATTGCAGATTTGCAATCCAGATGGTGCCTTTCACTAATAGGTTTCCATTTTGTTCTCAGCTATGTGTCTTTTGCAAGGAGAAAACTAAGCCATTTATGAATGTGACAGTGATAGAACAGCCTATGGAATGTGTACGCCTGTTTAAGCATAATTAGGATGTCCTACAAAATAAGTTACTGAGTTTTTTCCTCATTATATTATTTAGGGACAAACATGGTTCTTCTTGACAAATGCAAATGTGTACCTGACTCCATATGCACAGTGGGCTTTAGGGTCTCTCTGAAAGGAAGACGGCATAAATCAGTTCGTAAAGGAACTTCTTGAATAAGAAAGCAAATAATTTCCCTTAAAAGTTGGTGATCCCAAAAGCTACACATCTCTCAGAAAGGAAAAATATTTGAATTGCAATTTTAACTTCATAAGAGATCATCAACTGTCTTCAGTGAATGAACATTGAATTTCTATATCTGAAATCTTAATTTTTAATAATGACAAGGCTTTGAAATTTTTAGTGTATTTTAGAAGCATTGGATGCTAGGAACCATACTGAATTTAAATGTTGAAACATCCAGTAACAGATCTTTAATGACACCAGTAAGAAATCAGCTTCAGATTATAGATGGAAGTAGTCAGATTACAGACAGAAATTGCCAGAGAAGGCTTTGCATGGCACAAGAGGAGAGAGAATCTTATTTCCAGGATATGTTTTATAGACCATCCTTCTTTGTGACAGGTCCTCCCTCGTGTATAATTATTACATAGTACATGATGTTAGTATTCATCCACTTTCTTGTGTGATGTTTTAACATTCTCTGTGAACATTCATTTTAAAACTTCTGCTTGACTAGGAATATAATTATAAGGACTGACTCAAGTTTAAAACATTTACTTACTTGTCATTTTCTAAAATATTTAGCAATCCTGATTAGCAGTTGACCATCACAACTACATCTCAATTAGTTAATACAGCTTGCAGGGACCATTATCTCTAGACAAGTCACAGTTAATATGTGGACTTTGTGCATCTGAGGATATTCATTTCCTGTGCCTGATTCAAAATCAAAAAAAAAAAAGAACAATGGCATGTTAAAGAGTTGCAGCATAGGCAAAAAAAAAAAATTTTTTTTCTTCAGAAAATTACAACTCCTTGACTATCATGTCTTGGTGTCCACTGATTTGAGTTTGGGGACTTGCTAAGCATGGAGGTCAAAAAGGAAGTTACTTTCTACTTCAGGTTTTCTAAATTGCTGGGAGAAATCTGAAGGACATTTTTCTTAGCTCTATCTCTGGGCAGGGCTGCTTTGCTAACATTTCTCTTTTTTCTGGATCTTTTTCTTCAATGTTAATGTATTCTATCCATCATTTTGCCTGCTCTTGTCTTAAGGGTATAAGTCAAGATCTGTAAAATTGTTCAATAAAAGAGTTTAATTGCCCTGGAGGAAATGGGAACCTTTCTCTCTTGCAAGCCAAGAAAAAATGGTGGTGCTTAAACTCTTGTTGGGAATTTTAAAAAGAGAAATACAAAATATACACTCTTGCAAATCAATTCCTAAGGACCTTTATTTTCCTTCAAGTTTTACTGACTGAAATGTTAAAAAATATATGTGTAGATTCAAAACAAGTGAAATGCTGTAATGAGATGTGGTTTGAGCTTTGGCATTTTATATTTGTATCTTTTGGACAGACTTTCTGTAGGACTCTTTGGTACTTTGGTATGAATCCAAGAGATATTATGGTTCATATGATCATTCATAATAATCTAAAAGAAAGCCAAGTATTGTCTCAAAAGAAAGCAAACTATGCTGGGTTTTCCTGCCAAACGCATTTATGCATGGACAAGGAAAGGTCAGAGGCCACACAAATTAAGATTAAAGCTTCTATATCAGAACGAGAATCTCCTTAAACTTTTAAAAATGTTAATTTTCATGGTTTGTGTGCTTCTATAGGCTTACAACATCAGTCTGTTGTTATAGCTTTCTTTAAGTGCATATTGTTTGCCTTGAAAATAGAACCAGTAATGTGATGTCTTCGAGGTCAAAGGCAGCATGATATCTATATGTTGTATCATGTATTTTGATCACATACAGTGACTATTTTATGCCTAATTGGACATTTTTAGTGTTGGCATTTTCCATTTTTTCTAATTATGTAGAAAGATATTGGTCAAAATAGAGATGAATTTCAGACAGAGAGCTGGTCTCTGTAGGGCTTTGTATGTCCTCTCCAGTAATGAGATGACCTGGCCTCTTGCCCTAGTTCTGACATCACATTTATGTGACTTTGGGTAAGTAATTTTCCTTCCTGAGCCAATGTTTCCTCATAACTAAAAGGAGATAGTAATTTTATCTCTAGCAGGATTATGAGGAAATGGGGAAGGGAAAAGGTATAAGAAAGGGCATGAAAAAATGAATATAAATGAAAGTAAGCATTGCATAAGACCTTCAACCAGACAATTCTGAAGACCTTGAGGGAACATGGGCTGCCAGAAGGCACACTTGAATGGATGGCAAGTTATTATTGAGCCAATTATTTAGGGAACCAGTTGCCTATGGTCTGGCCTTGGAGCAAACTATTGTTAAAAAACAAAACAAAACAATAAACAAAACAGGGAACCTGTCGTAAAATTCCACACAAGACATTCTATGTCATAAGAATTCTATTTCAGCTCCTGGAACTGAAATACACATGATTTTCTTGTGGGTGATACCGTCTAATGCACAGAATAAAGGATTATTGGTTTTCTCACTGGGAGTGAAACCATCGTCAGAGATTGGAAACTCTTATAAACACAAGTATTTAGTTTTATCACGTGTCAGACACTACAAGCAAACAGCAGGTCTATAAGTTTAGGCCAGTAAGAAAAATAATAGATCAAACAATTTTTTAAAAATATAGCCTTTTTGGATTTATTCAGAACAGAAACTGGTTGAGATTTGCAGAGATTCTCAAACTAATTCTATCTCTGTGTTTTTTATATCTAAAACTTTTTCAAGATCTAATCAAGATCTACTTCTTCCAAACCAACTATCTTGAGTGGAATTTTGAGGTGAAGATGGAAATTAGAAAATGAGCTTACTAAATGTAGGTTCATTAAGACACTGATAGTTTGAAACTTCATCTCAAGTTCTCTCTATCGAGCCAGAACCATTTTCACCACCATGCCTATATCTTTTCTGAAGCCTTTTTCCACAACAATTCATGAGAAGCAATCATGATGGTTCAGTATAAGATCCACATTTTATTAGTATTTGCCAAGAAAATATTTCCAGAAACTACTAATTTGTCAAAGACGAACAACAGCCAGGTGGCACTATAGACAGTGGAGATGAGAGGAGTTGTTAATTCAGCCACATCTTATAAAACAATATTAATTATTGTGTGTGAAAAGCAAGAAGGAGAGGAAAGTATAAAATGTCTTATTCCAATATTTGGAAATAAGTTTAACATTTGAGCCTCTACTTGACCAGGGATTGAATAATTGTATCTCACAGATACAGTCTGAGGTACAAATTACTAAGACAGAAGGGAACCAGTTGCCTATGTTGTCTGGCCTTGGAGCAAACTATTGAAAACTGTTTACTAACTATTGAGCATTAGAGGTCTTAGGGAGCACCAATGCATGTATTTTGTTAATCTCTCAGAAATGCTATCAATTGTAAACTCTTCGAGAACAAATACATTTTATGGATTTTGAAAATGTCCTTTAAAATTTATAATAATGAACCATGTACAATTTCTCTAAAGTAGCATGGTTAATTAACTGCATATTTAAACATGGCAAAAAAAAACATCCAAAGGGCACGTACGCGAAGGCTATCCATGTGGGAGAGTGGTTCTGGATCCTACTTTGTTTTTTAGTCTGCTGCCCCATGCCAGGATGTGAGATAGCAGGTCAAAATAGTCCTAATCTTCCTCCCATCGATTGAGCTAATTAATGAAAATGGAGAAATATTCTTCTCAAGCACACCTAAAACAAAACATCTGGAATGCTTCTGTACAGGCATTAAAAAAACAAAACAAAACTGTGTCAACCTGTTTTAGTATTTCCATAAATCTAAAATCGTCACATATTTTGTATGTTTGACCTTTTTCTTGATAGATAAAATAAGCCAGTAGTTCTCAATAGGAGGTGATTTTTATCCCCGCCCCCCTTCCCCGAGGGACATTTGACAACATCTGGAGGAATTGTTGGTTGTCACGACTGGGGGCAGAGGGACAACTGACATTTAGTGGGTAGAAGCCAGGGATGCTGCGGCTAAGCATTCCACAAAATGTAGGAAAGGATTGTCTGGCCCCAAATGTCAATAACGTCAAAGTTAAGTCTCCTTCCCTGAGCCTGTATTCCAATAGAAAAGACTGTGACGTGAAAGAGATATACTGAAAGAAATTCAAAAGAACGTGGGACAAAAAGCACATTGAGGCACTTCGCACAGATGCTCGAGTGAACATTTTTCTCTAAATAATGTTAGGGCATTTCACACATACAAAACGGTGGCCACTCACCTCTCTGAGAATGACATAGAGCCTTGGGAGATGACACCCTTATCGTTCTAAAGGACAGGAAGACCTTGAGTCATCTCTTTGAAAAGAAACAAATATATGCTTTGCAATAACCAGTGCATTTACCAGTTTCGTAAACCTAACAGAATGGTCAACAATATACCTTTTATCTATTATCTATTTTGCATTTAAGCTTTTTCCGGAAATAAAAGTAAGAAGCACTGGGTTTCCTTTCAGTTGATAACTATGTCATTTTAGGACTTCTGGATACTAGGGTCGTTCTCGCCACAATCAAATGGCTCAATTTACCTTGCATTTTAAACTTTGGATAAGAGTAGGTATTAAGCATTTTATAATTGTTTTGGGAATTTGAAAGGTTATTGAGTTCTGAATAACAGTCTCTCATGTTTTCCCACCAAACTTTTCCCAGCAGTGAATATAGCTGGATCTTATTCTGGTTTTTTATTCTTTTTTTAGCTTCCTGAAATGACTCATGTTCAAACACGGCGACCCTGGTTGATGTTTCTCCTGCAGAATTTTGGATTGACCCTAGGTTGGCTTTCTCTGTTACTGTTGGCTATATATGAACAAAATATTAAAATATAAGTTGATACTCAAAATCCTTCAACTAAGAATTTATATGGCCTCATTTTATCTCTTTTGTTGTACTCTATAGTGATTTATAAATGAAGTATTTTTTATCTTCGGTGAAGTGTGCATCTCTTAGTTGATTAACTTATCAATTTTATAGTCCAATTTTGTGTTCGTAGTATATAAATGTCAGGTTATCCTTAATTGAAATTTTGTTTTTAGTCTCCAGCAGCATGATGGAAATTACACCTTTTTAAATCATTAATAAATTCTAAATTAATTCTAGTAAACTTTAAAAAATATTATTTTCCTAATAAAGAATGTTATATTTGAAGTAGACAGGTGCCTATTGGGATAAAAGTTGCTGCAACTTCTTGGATGTCAATAATATATTTTTTTTCCTGTAGGATTATAAACCATAAGCAAACTAAATTACAAACAAAGGTAATAAAGTCTAGTTATAATGTGATGGTTTTTATTACCTTCCGTTCCTGGATGTCAGATTCTGAATCAACTTTTACAAAACCAATATTATACAGTTCACCTGGAAGCATCTCCCACTGGCTCATAAATGCTAATACATAAGCAAAATTGGGAAGCCTAAAAGATACTATGTCAGCATTCTTCTGTATAATCATCAAATGAAATCCGTTCTAGGCAAAGAGAACTGGGAACAAAAGATGAAGCTCAAAAATTGTAAAAATAACAAAGTTTAAGTCAGGCTGTAGATTTAATGCATCCGCTCTCACAGGTTTAACAGTATGTTTATGGGAATAATATTACTGACAAATGAGATCTATTTTAAATTATTTCTGAGGAAGCAGAGCCCTAAACATGATTTCAGTGGGTAAGTTCATGAATGAAATGTGCAAGCAACATAACTGGTAACTGAACAAAATTATTAAAATAGAAAATAACCCTGGCTTTAGTCATTTTTCTTGGAAGATAAGTGCCTAATATTTTTCTTTGTGTGTGTGTGTGATATATCTTGATAAGGGGAAAATCCCATTATATTGGCCAAATGAGTCACGGCACTCAGGCAAATCTATCTTTGCTACCTCTGACCAGTAGACACTCTTTTCCATGTCCCACCCAAACCCAGTCTTTTTCAACCACTTTTATTTGATTTCAAAGTGAGATGCGTTTCTTCTTCAGTTGCTTTTAGATCTTGATTTTAAGGAGCATCATGATAAGGGTGATCGTTCTCAAACGTTGGCACACATTAGGTTTAACTGGTGGATTTATTAAAATGCAGACGCTTGGGCTCCGTCTTGTGAGATTCTGATTCTGTAAGTCTGGATTTAGAGGAGAAGGGAAAGGGGGACTGAGAGCTTGATTTCCAACAACTTCCAGGTGATACTAATGCTGATACTGCTGGTCTGGGTGGCTCGCTGAGCTCCACAGGTGTGGTAGAAGTCAGGCACTCCTGGCTTCACAAAAGAGCGTGCGCGCAACTCTGTTGCCCAGGGGCTGTATGATTTTAATTAAGTTGATTCACACTCTGCAAACCTCGTACTAGATCTGGGTTCCTAGGTTGCAATTTTCTCTTGGCCCCCTCGCCTTTGCGCGTCGGATCAGTCGCAGGAGCTGCTGCATGAGAAGTCCACAGGTATTTGCCTTGAAAGGTAAGCAGACCTGGAGCTTTGTCCTTCTTTGGTTGGAGAATAGTTTGTAGCTAATCAGAAACCCCTTTGTACGGGGCAGGGCTACGAAGAGAGTCCATGAAGTAGCACCTGGCACCATCTGTGTTTGCATTTCTATCACCGAGTTCCGATTTTGACATTAAGCCTTAACGTAAGCCAGTTTAATTAAAAATGCTCTGATGGCCGGCTTTGTTCCAGGTTCCAGTTTAGAGGACTTTGGGGCTAGCTAAATTAAAGACTGTGGTGTGAGCTATTCACTGCATCACCATCAAGTTAGAGTGAGTTTAGCTTGCCTCGTGAGGGAGGTTGTGGGCAAGGCTCAGAGGCACATGAAGGTAGCTGGCTGTCGGGAGGATTTGGAGAGACATTCTCAGTGAGTGTTTCGCAAGCCTATCATCAGCCTGCCCTGATTATAAGCAGAATCCTGGCCCTCAGAGGTCATCTCCAGGCATCACACTAAAAATAGTGCAATGTAGTGGCTCTGAGGGCACTTTTCTTGGCTCACAACCCCTCCCCCATGCTACTTTCTATCTGGCTCGTTGCTAACCCCCCTCAGGTGGGTTGATTTGCTAATCCAGGTCAGCACTCCAGTAGCCTGAGCTGGACTTCCAGGCACCAACTATCTTAGAATTACTAGAATTCTCTTTTCCTCAAAATTGAGTGCTCATAAAAATATTATGACCACAATTGGCCTTCTAAATATGAACAGGGTCTAAATCTGGATTGGCTGAATATCATCATCCCATTAATACCGTCGCCTAAATTGTGTCTTACTGAGCTTTGGGATAAATGGTGTTTTCCTTGAAACAAGATTTCTCAATAATGATAGACTATTTCTATTTACTAAGCCTAAATTTAGGATTCCTCTGTATTTCTACTCAGTGATTGATTTTTATTTTAGTTACTGAACTAGAAATGGTTCTAGAAAAAATCAAAGAGCAAATTCTACAGAAATCTTATCTGAACATCCATCACCCACTGACAGAGCCACCTTCAGGGAAAGGAGAAATTGGCACCACGTCACTATGATGCTGAGTACACCCCCCTTTGGTTGACCCCACTCTGTCCATCTCCCCGGAGGGCTTTGTCCATGTGTCATAATGCTTACGGTCAGCGTGAGCCCCTCTCTCTTATTCTTCATCTCTCATAATAAGTAAAACCCTATTACGTGCCACTTCAATCACACTTCTGAGACTGAATAACAACCTGATGGAGAGGAACCTGCCTGGGGTTGTGGTTATTGTCACAACTTGATTTCAACTTGGGGAGAGGAAAAAACGGTCCAATTGATTTTCCCTGTTCCCAGTGATTCCTCTGAGGGACTGAAACCAGCTCAGAAAAGAATGTCCGTCAGGGAAACCGGGCATAGCTCTCCCCTCCTCCCGCCAGGCATGGGCTGTGTAAACAGCAGATGCTCTGGCAGGTGGTACACACAGCCTGCCCTGGGTTCTCAAGGCACCACAGAGAATGGCGCTCCATTTCACCTGGGGCCACAGGTACCTCCCCAGTGTGTGTGTGGGGGATGGGCCCCATGTTGTGAAAATCTTACTTCCATAGGCACCTCTCAAAACCCAACTGAAATTGTAGGAAGTTTGAGAAGCTAAAAAGACTTTCCCAAATCCAGAGTGCTCTTCCCCACACACCATTGCTTCTTCAAAAGTCTCTGGAATGTATTTGCACACCCTCCCACTGGACCCACCTCCCCCCACCACAATATTCCTGTCTCAAACGCAGAGTCTCTGTCACATGGAGCCCCACCCCCCACACACTCCTCAAACAACACCCCCCACACTCCTTCATTAGCGTTGCTAAAAGCCTCTTGTTTCTCAGAAGGTTTCTTTCATCGTGTAATACCCACCTCCCCACCTCCCTAATCATGACCAATACCAAGAATCTTCCTCTTCCTTTATGTCTAGAGAGGGGTGCTTTGTCCAGCTGTGACCCACCACTGATTTCCATCTCTACCCTTGGCTTCACTCATAATTGTGCACAGTATGTAGGATTTCTGGTTTATGGATTAGGTGTGTCATGGGCTCAGCATTTCCTTCAAAAGTCAAGCTATGAAGGACACCTGTAGACTCAGCCCGCAGCATCACATGATGCTGGTACTGATGTCAGAGGTTTTAATACAACTCTTCAATTTTATTATGATGTCATAATAGTAAATATTTTTAAAACACTCACTATGTGCCAGATACATTAAAAGTGCTTCAGGAGAGTCATTTAACTCTGTTAAGAACCCCGAGAATGTAGGTCTAATACTCTTTCATCCCCCTTTACAGATGAAGAAACTGAGGCCCAGAGACGTCATTTAACTTGCCCAAGATGACAGAGCTAAGGTAGGCTGGCTCCAGAATCTGTGGTCTTAATTCCTGTATCAGAGAGAAGAAACTGAGGCTTGAGGAGTCTAGATGGCTGCCCAAGCTCTTATCTCTGTCGGGAAGTTGACCTAGGACTTCAGATCTCTGATGTCCAGTCCAGCAATCTTGGTCCTTACAATATTCCCTGGTTCTGCCAATCAGATCTTCTCACCTATAAGGTCAGTCATTTGAGGTTGTGTTTGCTCGTCTAGTTCATATTAATTCACCCCATGAGGATCTAGAATCTATTCAGCAAGTTTTTTTTAATTGAGATATAATTTACGTATAACATTAATTACAGGTGTACCACATAATGATCTGATATATGTATATATTGTGACATAATCATCAAAATAAGTCTAATTAATGTCCATCACTTCACATAGTTACAATTCTTTCTTGTAACTTTTAAGATCTACTCTCTGCAACCTTCAAATATTCAATACAATGTTAAGTAGTCTCCATGGCGTATATTAAATTTCATGCTTATTTATTTTGTAACTGGAAGTTTGTACCTTTTGATCCCTTTCACCTATTTCTCCCACCCCACCCCTGCCTCTGGCAACCACTAATCTGTTCTGTGTATCCATGAATTCAGTTTTGTTGTTGGTTTGGGTCTACATATGAGTGAGCTCATATGGTACTTGTCTTTTTCTGTCTGACTTATTTAACTTAGCGTAATGACATCAAGGTACATCCGTGTTGTTTAATGGCTGAATAATATTACATTATGTCTATGTATGTCTATGTATTTACATACATATACATACACATATAAACATATACATATATATACATATATATATATCCTTGAACAATTTGGGGATTGGGGCACTGACCCCCACACAGTCAAAAATCTGCATGAACTTTTGACTTCCCCCTGAAATAACTACAGTTGTCCCTCAGTATCTATGGGGGATTGGTTCCAAGACCCCCAGAAGATATCAAAATTCAAAGATGCTCAAATACCTTACATAAAACAGCGTAGAACAATGCATAGAGTCAGCCCTTTCCATCCATGGACCCCAACCTTAGATCAAAAATACTGTTTTCAGTCCTCAGTTGGTTGGATCTATAGATGCAAAACCTGAGGCTACAGAACATCGGTTGTATATTTA